CTTATTACTTAACAACATCCAATTAACAAACAACCAAATATCTTAAGGTGTGAACTTGCGTGAAAACAAGTTACATGTTAATTTCCGTTTGAATTTTTTTTTTCTAATTATTGTATATCATCTTTTATATTGGAACTGTTTTACTGGAAGGTTTTACTAGTATATCTATTTTTAATCGTTGGCAGCTTTCCAAAGTGAAAACTGGTATGTTTATATCGTTGTTATTTACATGTTTGCAATTGTACATATACGTAAAGTGTGTGGCGGATAAAAGTTTTGGATTATTATTTTTATTTATTTTTGCACCATAAAATATTCTACGTATTTTAAGCTGTGAATGCTTTGTAAGAGTGACAGCCAATCCCTTAAGGATTGTGGGTGGTTGAATGCTGCTGATCGGTTGCCTTCCCTCTTATCTATAGTTCAAAATTACGGGCGGCAGAAGATAGCTGTAGTAACTATGCCATAAGTATATTGTTGCGTCATCGAGATCACGTGACTATTCTCACGCCCTCTAGTTTCTAGAACTATCTTGTTCCTTCACGAATGCCCTAGCATTTACTAGATAGGGTAGTGTGGTATATATAAGAGGGTGACAACGTGACGCGGTAATGTGTGTGTAGGTAATGAGTAATTTAACTTCGGTCAGAGAGAGTCGTATTGTTGAAGTTAACGTTCGTTCGTTATAGTGTTTGTTTTAGCGTGAATATTGAAATTAAGTGTATCGTAAAGTTATATTCGGAAAGAATAAACCAGTTTTATTAAGTAAAGACTTGTGTCGTTAAAATTTCGTCGGAACGAAGTTACGGAAAAATCAATTAACAAACGGAGACGTAACAATATGTATAGCAATATATTTATTTTTACTACGTAACTTAGTTTTTTACTCTTTTTAAATTATAATCGAAGATGGAGCCGGGATAAAAAGAAATAATGATTCTCGGAGTTGTGTTTACACATCTAGTGAGTTTTATAGCTAGGGTTGTGTTTACACATCTAGTGAGTTTTATAGCTAGGGTTGTGTTTACACATCTAGTGAGTTTTATAGCTAGGATTGTGTTTACACATCTAGTGAGTTCTATAGCTAAGATTGTGTTTACACATCTAGTGAGTTCTATAGCTAGGGTTGTGTTTACACATCTAGTGAGTTCTATAGCTAGGGTTGTGTTTACACATCTAGTGAGTTCTATAGCTAGGGTTGTGTTTACACATCTAGTGAGTTTTATAGCTTGGGTTGTGTTTACACATCTAGTGAGTTCTATAGCTAGGGTTGTGTCTACTCATCTAGTGAGTTTTATAGCTAGGGTTGTGTTTACACATCTAGTGAGTTCTATAGCTTCCTATTATTTCTTCGTATAAGGATCATTAAGTAAATGGATTCTTTTTTCGCTTTCATATATATATATATATATATATATATGTATATACTGCCACCCAGTGGCTCGTCGGTAAGCTTACGGGCTTATAACACTCAATTTTGGGTGCGATATCCACAGCGGGCACAGTGCTGATAACCTATTATGCACATTTACGCTAAAACACAAACAAACCAAAAAAGTCAAAACGTTCACACGCATTTGAAAGAGGTTGAAACGAAAATATTGTTTGAGAATCAATGGTAATTGTATATATTATTATACAATAATAGTCAAAAATCTAGACTAAAGTATCGACATTCAATTTGTCAAAAATAAATAGTGAAATTGAAAACAAACAAACAAAAAGTAAATAAATAGATTAATTCGATGTATATCTAATAAACATTGTATTGGGTCAGCGAGGTCACGTGACTAGTATCACGCCACTTCCTTCTCGAACCTTCGTGAATTGTCGTGAGATTGTTAAATTGGGGGTAGCTGGTATATATATATATAAGATGGTCACAACGTGACGGGACAATGTGAAGGTAATGAGTAATTGAACTGCAGTCAGAGAGTGTGTAATTGAACGGAGTATTGTTGAAGTTGAGCACGTGAGACGGTCGTTGTTATAGCGTTTGTTATAGCGCGACTGTTGAAATTAAGTGTATCGCAAAGTTATATTAAGAAAGAATAAACCAGTTTTATTTAAGAAAGGACTTGTGTCGCTAAAGTTTCGTCGGAACGAAGTTACGAAAATTAACTAACGAACGGAGACGTAACAACTGGAAAATATTACTCTATTTACGTTAACCTCACCTCCTCCCCCATTTCTGTTAGTTATGCAATGATACTCTCCTTTCTGACTTGTATTTGATTCGTTCTGAATACTTTAAACTACTGAGGGGTGGAAAAGGTTGAACGAACATGAAAATAAATCTGAAACATGTAATACAAATTAAATTAGACCCTGTGCAAAGAAGAATTTGGGAAAAAGCCCATAAAATAGTATCATACAGTATATAAAAAGCGAAAGCTCAGGAATAGAAAAAAATAAACAAACGAGCTCAGGCTGTCTACGTAAAACTGGAAAATAGCAAAAAATAAAATAATAAATAAATAAACATCTACAAATAGAAGAAAAATAGAAATATGGATTAATAATGATGAATGATTGTGTAAAGAAATAAACTCAAAAGTCAAGTTTGATTTTTTTTATCGTGAATTTGTATTAATATGAAAACTGGCACATATTACATCGATTTTAGAGATTAATATTCAGTGAGGAAACGTGAAGTTACCACTACAGCGATACCAGAAAAAATATTAAATTATTTATAACAACATTAACTTGCCTGAGAAAACTAAACATTCAATTTACGATATTTTGGTTTTTATGTTTGTGTATGACGCAACGAAAATCAAAGGTATAGAAAAAAGATATTTAAATTTTTTTAATGAGAAAAATATCAATTAAAAAATAGACCATTATGAGTTAAGTTTTGCTGTTGAAGTACCGTGTCTACTGATTTAAAGAATTGGCTTACTGTTTATATTACAGAAATACACAAAATATTTTAAACTCAAACAATGCTACCATCGTCTTATTATTACAGCATTTATCGTATTTTGGACTGTTGGTATAAAGTGTAATTTGTATTTGCGGCATACTTTTTCTAACGTGTAGATAAGGATTTTGCATCACTAACTTATGAAAGTGGTTGTTTTGGTGAATTATATATATTTTGCTATTCAGAGGAGATTGTATTACATCTGGAAGCCTTTGGCGTGCAACTGTAGTGCTATGTCTGCATATGTTGTGTCATGTCCTTTTTCGAATGATAGTTGCGAAGCGCGTGCTCTGGGTATGGTGATAAGTAGGCCAGGAAATATTATGATTTTAATCATTTAATTCAATGAATATACATGCTTCTCCCTATTGATCGTATAGTATTTGTACAAATTAAGTGTTTGTTTATGAATGCTGTAAAAATGGTTCTAAGATACTAAAGAAATTATGTGGTTTTCGTTTTCTCATCTCTTACAGCAATTGGACAGCAATTTTCAGTAAATAAGTTGACAGTGTTTTAGATTATTTTCATATACTTGTGTCATTATATTCGTTTCTGATGTCTTGCATATAAAAGTGTACTTTCTTTGCTAGTTTCAGCAAAATGTTTCTGATTTCCGATAGACTGTGAATTGTATAGCATACAGTCTTGATTTCAGCCTCCCCGCTATCTTCAGGCACGTGGCTGTGCCTGAAAATTCACACCGCCTCTGTGTTTCATGCAAACAACTACAGCAGTCGCCCCTTGCTATTATTAAGAGCATGTTTGAAATTTATGTTTAGTTTGAGACATCGTATGCAATAAGTATCAAGCAGATTGCGTCAAGTAAAAAACGAAAAATCGTTTGAATTCGAGAGCGTCACGTGGTAAGACCTTAAAAATCAGCTACCCGCCGTGGGCAACTGCAGGATGTGAAATGCGTTACATTTGTTCACTTGTTTATAAGTGTGTCTCACCAAACAACTTTCTTCCTACGTCTTCTTTGCGAGGTTGAGATCACATGAATTGATGATTACTTTCCGTTTCTCGATAAGAAAACCGCTGGAGACAGAAGTTTATAAAGCTTTTAAATTTCTCCTGCAAAGCTCACGTAATTACTCTATGTTGAAGCTATATTATAGAATTTCAACATGTGCATGAAAATGGTTTCATGTTTTAAATAGACTAGAGATATAAGACAGCTGAATAAAAATAATACATCACTTGGCAAATATTAATGTACAGTGAGCTAACGGTTCGCTGTTAAACGTAAGAGTAAGAACTGAGTTAATTTCTGTTTCAAACCAGCTCTACTTATGTATAGTTGGAACATTTCTAAGCAAGGTTCTGAAAAATAGGCATGTTCACCAAAGGAACGTTAAGATTTTTATATTCGAGATGTATTTGGAGCCGTTTCTTTCGTCGCTCTTACTGCCCGAGACGAAGTGGAGTTATTATTGTCGTCGACCAGAATGAAGTACGATATGTATCTTCCTGTGTTTGAAGAATCGGGATGATTTGAGAACAGCTAACACGATGAGTTATAAGTCATGAAATTCCAGTGTAAAGATCCAGAAATGAGTAAAATACATATCAATACCTAACTTAGAAGACTATAGAGTCCAAGAAACTGCATGATTTTTGATATAGTGTTCGAAAATCCAAATTTTTCTCGTTAATGTCTGATACAAAGTGTAAGGAGGAACTCAGAAAATAGGTATTAATAGGTAAAACTGATTCTTGGCTGTGGAACTTGACTGATATATTAAAAATTTCCCAAACTGTCAGCTTATTATTCCACATGGTTAATTGCTTAAGGATAAGATGTCAACCCATTTGTTAGTGAAACTTTTTACAGTGTATTGTGATGGTAGCAAGTGGAAGTAAGATTAATAAACAGAATAATCACGTGTGTTTCATGTTACATACCATCAAGTTCTATTCGATGATTGTATAAAGCGGAGTTTCACTTAAATGTTCAAAGCTCGAAGCTGTTTGATTAGTTAAAAACACCTTTGGAAACACGTTTTCTAAAACTGTCTCAAAACAACTAAGGTATTGTGTATTTTTTACTTTGTGGGATGTGTTATTTGGGCACCTATATTTTACTATCCTGTTCCTTAAATTTGTTCGCACCAATTTAAACTTTCAACAACGATATGAGGAAAAATCGTCCGATGTTGACCGTTAATTCACTGCTCTACAGAATAGCATCTGCAAAATCCAACGAATTGTGGCTTCAGTCTACGGGACATGCACAGTTTGCAGGTAGTTAATCCACAATGCTTTGGATCCTTAGTTAAGTATCTCAAGGCCCATCTTGGTTGCAGTATCAGGGACATGCACAGTTTGTAGGTAGTTTGATACCGTAAACTTTAAAGAATCTAAAACAACGACTGACAGTTAGGTGTCAATTTGTTCTAAGTTGCGTTTTCGTTTTATTTTAACCAGTAGTTTGTTGCTTGTTGAAACTATTGCATAATTGACAACAGATCATTTGCTTTTGATTAAAACGTTTCTTCCAAGTACAATTTTTCATTATTCGAAAAATTAAGTCTTAGGACAATATAACATATAAGCACTTGAATAGGTTCATTAATAACTTGTTTTTTTTTAATCTGTGTGTTATACCCCACTGTGCTTTTCCATGTTAATATATTGTTGCGTCATCGAGATCACGTGACAATTCTCACGCTCTCTTGTTTCTAGAACTATCTT